ATCCCGCTTCTGGCTTGAACCATTGCAAATGCAGAATTTGTATTGCTTCGTTCAGTGGTTTCCTAAGTCTGCTTGTATAGCCCTCGGGTTCCATGAGAATCTGGTGAGAATCACTGTGTGTTAAGTGTGGAGTGGCCAAGGGCAGGATGAGAGAATGGCATGGAAAAGGAGCCCCATCCTGCTTCATGGAGAGTAGCTTTGCTAGCCTTTGATCAAGGTTCTGTGTGAGCAAAGGCTACTATTTCCTAAAGCAAGATTTGAAAAACCACTTGCCTAGAGTGTACCCTCCTTTGGGGTTCCTTCTGTCCAGACAGTGCTTTCCCTCTTCTTTCCATCATAACCTCCTATTATGCCTTTATAGTCCAGCGCAGGTGTGTCTGTCCTAATTCAACTGTCTGTAAATACCATACACACCAGTAGTCCTTCTTCTGCATTTCCACTGTCCCTCACCCATACTTCATGTGCTGCTATTAACTTATTGTATTGAACATGTACATCTCTGCATGCCTATTTCCATTATTACAGTAGGAGCTCCTTTAGGCAGACATGACCTCACCCATCTCTGTTCATGGGCATAAAGTGTGCCTGGCTTAAAGTGATTATGGTTAAATGCTTGCAGAATGGGATGCCACCTGGTTAATGGTTCCCTGATTAAGAAGCACACCTTCTTTCCGTTAGAGCCTTAGATGGAGCCAGCGTTTTTATTAATTCAAGATTTCATAAATGGTTAATAATCTCTCTTTGCCTCTTCTGGAAATTTCTAGGTTTGGCAAGAACAAGTAAACACATCCGATAATATCCCCTTTCCTGTCCTCCTGCCCTCACTGATGGTGTTGTGTTTTAAATTTTTTTCTTGGAGAGACTAGACATTTGCTTACCTCCACTTCCCCTGAGATACGATCAAATACCCAACGCAAAGGTTCAGAGTTGGTGAACAACTAAAAGCTCATATTGAATAAAAGATCTGGCTGCTGACACCATTTGGGACATTGCAGTCTGATGATTCTTTCCCCAGAGATGTGGGACTTGCTGATACAGGCCTCCCATTTATGCTCCACAAAGGGTACAGCTGAGAGGGCTGGAGCCTATTCTGAGAAGCTCGGCCTTCTGCTCTCCTGACATTGATCAGGAGGCTCCAGATATTTCCTTGAGTCTATTCAAGAAGCAGAAAGTCATGCAGGAGCAGGTATACAAGGAGACCTGTGAGAGTCAGTGACCTGCCTTGATTCATTTTGCAATGTGAATTGAGAACTTCACGTTTTCAATCTGCTAATTAATTGGTCAGGATCCTGTCTTGAGTATTTTTAGGGGATTTAGCTAACTCTGTCTACTTCAAAGGCACTCATTACCTTGGTGGACCTTTTTGCAACCAGTCTTGTGATCCAGGGAGCAGTGTTTCTAAGGTAGGAAAATAGGATGTGGATAAACATCAATCGTTTAACCCTCAGACACTGGGCACCCGCCATGTGCTAGATTTTTCTGCCAGGTACTGGGGTAAGAATAAGGCAATGAAGAAGCTTAATGGTCTTTCAAAAGCATGAGCAATTCAACTTCTCTTGATTGTTGAGTCAATGTAGTTAGTCAATGCAGACCAGAAAATCAGTCTGATGGATTGAACTGGCCAACCAGTCTAGACAAAATAGAAAAGCTGGCTGTATGTGTAGGCGGTATGGAGACAGGGGAAGAAGGAATGGTTCAAACTGGTTATAAGTATAGACAGTGGGCGGAGGATAAAGCATGTAACAAACTAGTTTTATGTGTAGACATAATGGGATAAAGTGTAGGCTTGGTGAACACACAAAACAGTAGATGTAGTCTTGATGGGAAAGTTAATCCTTTTGGCAATTCCAGATATGAGGATATTCCATGAATGGAATGGGGATGTGAAATCCTGTTGATTCAGATGGATGGTTGATTGCTGGAGATCTGAGAGGCTTTGATGAAAATATTAGGAGTAACTTATCTATCAGGTGAATCTCATCAGATATTGTTGTCAAAATTATGATACTGATTGTATTTATAGTGATAACATAACTGCCATGATGGTCATCTCTCAGCACTTATTGGTTCTCCAGATAGTATTGATGATGGTGATGATGATAATAGCAATAATTGTTGAACATCTACAAAATGTCAGATGCTTTCTACGATTTTTTAAAGTCTCCTAACAATCTACAATGCAAGATTTACTGCCAGTATTTTACAGGTAAGGATTCTGAGATCAGAGATGTTAATTTCCTTGCCAAATATCTGGTGAATACACGATGCAAGGGACTGGCTACCAGTGTGTGCTGGAATCAAGTATTGGGGTTTGGGTGCCTCTTTTGACATTTAAGAACTTGATTGACCTTGGGCAATCTGTGAAACTTCTCTGTGCCTTAGTGTTCTTATCTGTAAAATGAGAATGTTGTGAGGATTTAATGTGCCTGTCACAGAGTAAATGATCAACAAATGTTAGCTGTTGCTGCCTATGTTCTTCTTGTTATTTTTATTATTGATGGCCAGGCTGTGAGCCAAAGACAGACCTGTCTGGCTACAAAGCAGTATCCTTTCTTCTGTACCTCACTGCCTTCTGGCAAAAAGGGTGAGTAGGAAGTCAGGTTATTCCATACTGTACTTTATCCCTTTTTTCTAGCATGTGTAGCTCCACCGCTCCAGACGCTCTCGGACATCTGGAGTGCTGCTTCGGAAATGCATCTGCCTAGAGTCCAGGTGGCCCATTCTTTTTCTAGCCAATGACAGAGGCAGAGGCCAGTCACCAGGTGGAAATAAACTAAAGTCCCTGCTTCCCAGTGAGAGTGACACCTCAGTGTCTCTCTGTGCCCCAGAGCTCCACCTCCTGACAGGCCCATCAGTGCCCTGTCTTCCTGACTGGCCATATTGGAAGCTAGGGAGGGAGTGACCATGACCCCATTGCTCAGGACCTCTGATTAGTGCTCACTTCCTGAGCTGGTTCCACTTCCTCCACTGTGTCTGATTAAAACAGCCAGGGGCGACCCAAATATAGCCCAAAATTGTTGGTTAAAATCTTTTTGGTTTTCAGGCAACAGAAACCTACTCTGGCGGTGTATACAAAACAGAGAACTTATTGTAAGACCTCAGGGCTGCCACATAGAATCCAAGTGCCAAAATGCAGCTGAGGACCCAGAAAACTGCAGGGAGCCCCTGGAATGAACACTGTACCTCTCATTCCATGTCACAATGCACAACTGCAGCATTCTTTTCTTCTTAGAACTGGCTTTCTCTGCTGCTCCCGTGTGGAACACATGGCTACCCCGAACACCTGTGTTTTCATGCATAGGTTGAGCCACATGGAAATTTTCCTCTGACTGTCTTCCATATCTAAATACTAAGGAAACATCTCTCATTGGCCTCACCTGGACCACGTCTTTACCACGGACCAACCAGATGAAATTGCATTTGGATATTAAACATCAATATGAATTCTAGTTGGGAATGTGGAAATGCTAACCAAATGACAAGGAAAGGGATTTACACAAAATTGTTCACCACAGGATCCCCACATATAAACCTATTAATATTTACAATTAAAGATGAGAGAAGGCCAGAGTGAGATGTATTAAATGGCTTGTATTGTGGTAAACTTTTATTTTGCCACCATTGCTGTTATTAATAACAGTAATTGGCATCTATGCTGTCCTGTATAGTTCAGAATTCAAGGCCGCTGTGGGTGGACATTCTTCACATTTGTAGACAGGAAAACTGAGGTTCAAAGTTGTTGACTCTGCTAATAAGTCATAGAGTCAGACCCCAGATCTCATGTTCTCTCAACTGTATCGTATTGTTTCTCAAGTTGTAAAGTTGACCAACGAGAGAGGATTTTAAAATTAAGTCTGTATGTGGTGGGAGTGTTCCAGGCTGGTGACATCTACAGAGGGAGCCCCGAAATCATACGTGCTGAAGGGATATATAGAATGGAGTTTCCCTGGGGTAAGAAGCCAGGAGGAAGTAAGAAGATTCAGTGTTATCTTCTATGGGTTTAAGGAATGGCTGGGTGCATGGCTAACCCTCTATGTCAAATCTTGCATAAGAAATATACCAGAGGCCGAGCGCAGTGGCTCAAGCCTGTAATCCCAGCACTTTGGGAGGCCAAGACGAGCGAGCGGATCACGAGGTCAGGAGATCGAGACCATCCTGGCTAACACGGTGAAACCCCGTCTCTACCAAAAAATACAAAAAACTAGCCAGGCGAGGTGGTGGGTGCCTGTAGTTCCAGTTACTCGGGAGGCTGAGGCAGGAGAATGGCATAAACCTGGGAGGTGGAGCTTGCAGTGAGCTGAGATCCGGCCACTGCGCTCCAGCCTGGGCGATAGAGTGAGACTCAGTCTCAAAAAAAAAAAAAAAAAAAAAAAAAAAAGAAATGTACCAGAAAAGATTTATGAACCTTGTGTAGTCCAAACTGTTCAGGGAATGCCCGAGTTTCCATTATTAGAGATGTTTTTGTATTACAGGAGTCGTGTAGCCCCATGATTCTCAGGATTTGAGAGACCAACTTATCTTTGTAAGTCCCCCATTGAAGATGTTATACCTCTCTGAAAGCTGTTATGCCCCCACATAGGATCCATGTTTTCCTGTCTTTTTGTTTGTTTGTTTTGTTTTGAGACAGAGTTTCGCTCTTGTTGCCCAGGCTGGAGTGCAATGGTTCACTGCAACCTCTGCCTCCTGGGTTCAAGCGATTCTCCTGCCTCAGCCTCCGGAGTAGCTGGGATTATAGATGCCCACCACCACACCCAGCTACTTTTTGTATTTTTAGTAGAGATGGGGTTTCACCATGTTGGCAGGGCTGGTAACTCCTGACCTCAGGTGATCCATCTGCTTCAGCCTCCCAAAGTGCTGGGATTACAGGCGTGAGACACTGCGCCCAGCCTTTCTTGTCTTTTTCTTCAACAAAGAATATAAGACAAAATATTGCTTGAATGAATATCTGTACGCAATTCACCTACACATGTGATAGTTTCCATTTCAAGGACATTACATTGTTTTCTAACATCAAAAGAGTGTAAATATTTTACCCCATATCAAAAGTAAATTGGAGATAATTCTAATTTTTCAAAGACCAAGAGGGGAGACAAAATATCCACCCTTAGTCTGTAGTAATTCTGGCTTTAGAAGAGAATAGATAACGTATATCAAAAGCCAGAACATAGCCAGTCAGAGGGTCTGCTGGAGGCACTGCTCTGGAGATCTAGCGGGTTCCCGTCCATCCTCTACTCAGAGAGTCCAGCTGTTCAGAGATGAAGATTTGGGAGCTCATAATGCTAATGATGTGTAAGTTCATTTTCAGCTATTTTATTAAGCTGGTCTTTCCAGGTTCATTATCATTAATATTTGTGGTTGGAATATGTTCCTCCAGAGACTCTGCAAATAGCTCTTCCATTGTTCAGGTAAAATTTATAGCAAGTTAGACTAAGAGGGAGCACTGTATGAGCCCAGGTTTGCATTTCCCCTAGGAACTGAAAGCTTTGCTGATGGTTTTGGATGGCTGTGAATCTTCAGTCTGTAGGTCCAGCCATCTTTTGGATATAGGTCATTAACTATGCTGTTATGAATCCAAGAGGAATATCAAGTTGTAGGTGCCAGAATGGAGAGAGGTGTGGTGCAAAGTTCCCGAGATCACATCCTCCTTTGTTGTAACTGGCTCTGGCAAATTCTTCCTTTTGCTGCCACAGTCTTTGCCCCAACAAAGCCTCACAGTTTCCTCTGGATGCAAAGGTACAGGCCGGACTGTAATGCAACTACTGTGAGTTTCCTGCCCAGTGGGATGGAAGTGTCTTCCTCCCCTTAAGAGCCCACATAGAGTTCTGGCACTTGCAGCCGTGCCATCTGCACCTGCCAGAGATTTCACACTGCTATGTTGCAAATAGGGCTTGAAGTTTCTGGCCGTGTCAGGAGGAAGGAAGTGGCTTTACCACTCAGCCATGCATCTGATGACAAGCTCTGGGTGGGCAGGAAACAATGGGAAGAAGACAGATTTGAGTGTTAGAATCAAATGTTACCTCTGGTACACTTTAAAATGAGCTATTCTGTGCTTCCTAAAAACAATTTTTGGGGATAGTATGGAGGGATCTCACAAGGACATGAGCCCCTGATAATGTCATAAGTGCCAGTTCGATAGGCACATCCAGACCAATACAAGTTCACATACCTGATGTCTTAAAGACACCTGACACCAGGCTCAGGTGAAATCCTCACCTGTAAAACCAAAGAGTCGGATAGATGATCTCTATGGTTCTTTCCAGGTGTGAAAATTTGAGACTCTAAGAAGAATGGATTCCCCTTCACTAGTGTATTTTCTTGTCATTTAGATTCTAGCAAGACCTTGTTTATGTTGCAAACTGTTAGCAGGTGCTGAAGCTGTCCAGGGCTGAGTGAGTACCATGTTACTCAGGCTTCACTAGGCTGAAGGAAGAGGTTGAGATGAAGGCAGTCACTCACCTGTGTTGAAGACCTGCTCTGCAGCTTCATTTCCTGTCATTACAGACTGTGTCTGGGCCCAGTCAGAGGGGCTTGTGGGGAATGGGGGGCAGGTGGCACTGGGGTCTCTAGGGAGAGCAAATACAAATTGGATACCACCTAGAGGTTGCGAAGTGGAGAATAAGTTTCTAAGAACAGCTAAAAAATGAAAGAGACACAACCACCAAATGCAGCATGTGATCCTTGATAGGCCCTTAGGTTTTTTTAAAAAGCTATAAAGAACATTATTGGGACCACTGTGTCAGTTTGAATATGATTGCATGTTATGTCATATTATTGCATTAATATTAAATTTCTTAAGTATGAAACTGGTGTGGTGGTTATTAAGAGGATTCTTTGATTTTGGAGAAATACCTGCTATTATAGTATATGCAGCTTTTATATGCTGTGTGTGTGCATATATATCTATATATATAATATGTACTTATAGAGAGAGATGAAGCAAATATCATAAAATATTAACAGTTGTTGAATGTAGATGAAGCTTGTATGCTGTTCGTTGTGCTATTCTTTCTAATCTTCCATAAGTCTGAAGTCTTTTAAAACAAAAAGTGTGGGAAAGTGGCCCCAAAGTCAGCTATGTGCCATAGCGTAGCTTCCCTATCCTACAATCCTTCTGGGTTTATTCATCCCACAGGTTAAGGCGGACATACTCCTGTTATACTTTGGGCTCATATTTGCTCTGTTCTCTCTGCAGACAGTGTCAGCAGCCTCCTTATAATTGTGTGGCTTGATGATGTGCAGAGTTGTCCCTAAAACTCATTTGTATGTGTCTTGGGCTACTCCTCCTCACTACCCAAATAAGAGCCATTTTTGAGTGGTGGCAACATTGTCGGCAAAAGCAAGTATTTGTTGAATATTCACTGTGTGCTAGGCATTTTATCGGTATCAGCTCACCTGATTCTCATAAACAAGCCTTGGTTAGGTTTTCTTATCACCCTGTTTTATAAATGAGGCGATGAGGCTCCTAATGTTGACAAGCAGCAGAGCCAGAATTTGAAGAATCTAGGACCAATGACTCTGAAACCTTCATTCCTGACCACGACTGAGCATGTCTCAGCCTGCAGTTGCATTGCAACTACCTGGAGAACATTTGCAAAATTGACAGGTGCAGGCCCTGCTCCCAGGAATACTGAGTTTTGCAGTGGGGCTCAGACATCTGTTGCATGCAAAGATTTGGCTGTTTGGCTTCAGTCTCCCTTGTCTCCCTCAGCCTTGGGTGAGTTTCATCCATGACCTGTCTCCTCTCCCATCACCACTTGGGAGAGTAAATCCCTTCAACCTTAGGGATTTGGTGTGGCTCTTCCTTTCTGCTGATACCACCGTCTGTCTGGGTTGGCTATGATAGTCTCACAGGGTGCAAACTGGGGCCAGTGGTGTGGCTGCACTAATAAACTTTCCAGGCATCATTCTCACACTTGGCTTCATGTGGAGCTGTGGCAGGAACTTAGGTGAAAGTACCTGTGGACCCTTGCATTGGGTAACCTGTGCCTCCTGACAAGAATCTTCTGGGGAAGGAGGACAGAGGCGCAAGGAGGAGGAGCAGGCTTCAGCTGTATCTGTAATATTTCATTTCTTATTTTTTGGATGAATCTCAAGAGAATGATGCAGAGGGAAAAAGTCAATTCCTAAAGGTTACATACTGTATTATTCCGCTTACATTTTTTTTTTTTTTTTTTTTTTTAGACAGAGTCTAACTCTGTTGTAGTTCAGGCTGGAGTGAAGTGGTGCAATCTTGGCTCACTGCAACCTCCACCTCCTAGGTTCAAATGATTCTCCTGCCTCAGCCTCCCGAGTAGCTGGGATTACAGGCATGTGACACCATGCCTGGCTAGTTTTTGTACTTTTAGTTGAGATGGGGTTTCACCATGTTGGCCAGGCTGGTCTCGAACTCCTGACCTCAGGTTATCTGCTTGCCTCGGCCTCCCAAAATGCTGAGATTACAGGTGGGAGCCACCGTGCCTGGCCTACATAACATTTTTGATATTAAAAAATTATATCAATGGAGGACAGCTTAGTGGCTGTCAGGGGTCAAGGGTTGGAGGGAGGTGCTACCAAAGGGCATCTGAGGAATCCTGCCAGGGATGCAAATATTCTGTGTCTTGACTGAGTCACTATCAATTTCCTGGTTGTGATACTGTCCTAGGGTTTTGGAGGATGTTGCTACAGGGGGAAACTGTATAAAGGGCACACAGAATCACTATATTATTTCTAAAAATTTCACATGAAACTTCAGTTATCTCAAAATGCAAAGTTTAGTTGGAAAAAAAGAGGATATAAAGCAAATGTGGCAAAATGTTAACATCTCTTCTTTGTGGGTTTGGGGTGCATAGAAATCTGTTAGATTTGTTGTATTATTTTCATGATTTTCTGAATGTTTGCAACATCCAGTAAAAATCAAACCCTCTGGAGTTATGTACTCAGGCTTATATGTATGAAACCTTGCCTAAGACTCATTCCTGGCCCCCTCAGACTGGTGTGCTAGAAGCACAAGTACGAGGGATGGAGGAGCTGCTTAGGTTGGCACTGGCCCCAGTGGGAACCATGCTTCTGACTCCCTGCTGTCCTTATTTAACCTGGGAAACCATTGAACACTCTTTGAGTATTGGGACTTTCTATTCTCCGTATAGCTCCCACAATGCTCTATTGAATCTCCTTGGTCTACCACAGAAATCGGTGAAATTCTACTTCTGTACTTGGTGACAGCTACTTCTAGACTAAAAGAATTGTCACAAGGAGCGCTGTCTTATTAGAATCCTTGGTTTTGTGTATTATAAGACAATAGAGATGTATATACCAGAATTCATTTATTGTATCACTAAAGTACAACTTCACAATATAATCAAAAGGGACTAAATGAGATATGCAGAACAGTTTAGATGTAGAAATAGAAAAGAATGTTGAAGGGTCAGTTAGATTGAAATAGAATTTTAATAATCATGAGAGAGCCAAGTGTTTCTAGCCCAGTGTCGCTTAGACAGCCTTGGCCATTGCAGGTCTATTCACATGGATTCTGAATGACGATCAGAAGATATTCTTTATCTATGGAGAGATGGACAAAATCAATTCACCCTTAATTTAAATTTAATCAAGGAATATTTCAACTAGACTGCTTTTCTCTTCAAAACATCACATGGACCTTGTGTAGCCAGATGGTTTCCCACCCTGGCTGCACATCAGAATTACCTGTTGAGCCTTTAGAAAATGCTTCTTTCCTAGGGCCTCAGAGATTCTGATTTCATTGGTTTGGGGTGGAGTTGCAGGGATGGAAAAATTTTTAAAAAGTCCTCCAAGTGATTTAATGTGTAGCCAGGGTGAGGACACTGGTGTAGAAAAAACTTCATTTAGTTTGTAGGCAATTCTGATTTGATGGATTTGCTCTAGAGGTTTGTTCTAGATTAGTTTAGTGGCATAGGTCCCATGGTACAGTCATTCTGTAACATTGTGAACCTAATTCCTTCAGGGAAAGGAGTGTTTCTGGGAGATGTACTTCCCTCACAGGGAGGGTTTAAGAACCTACAGGTCTTGGGTTCACTGCCTACTTTGTCTGCAGGACAGGGAATATTTCTCCCATTCTGCAGAGTCTGTATGCTAAGTTTGCTGAAAATGAGACCTACATTTTCTAAATTTTTTCATGACTAATAATAAATGCAAGTGGGCAAAATTCAACCTGTTCTAAAGTCATGGGTCATATTAATTGCTAATTTCATAGAATTTTTAGGTTGGGATTTTTACATTCAAACATCATTTTGTAAGAGAAGAATATTATGTTTTATATTGCATACTAAAATCTATACTTCCCATTCATAGAAACAAGGCTTTTTATCTAGCAAAGTAGAAAGATGATTTAACTAGGAAATGAAATGCCAAATTACCTGGAGCTACCATGATTTCATGTTTCTTTGATCTGATCCTAAGAAAAGTCAGGTCGTTTTGAGGATCAATATCACGAACTGTGCTTTTGGCTTTCATTGTCAGGTGATGAAGAAGGCCTGCATATTGAACAGTCGTTGAGTTGTCCAAGGTTGTTCGGATGGGAATACCTATTATGAAATTTAATTTTGGTTAATATTTTTTCTGACTAGAAAAGTAATATGTACATTGTGGAAGTACTGGAAAACACTGATAATTGTAAAGAGGAGGAAAAAGTTATGGCTTATCACTCTCTGGTAACAATTTTAGTTTATTTCCTTCCAATCTTTTTGTCTCTGTAGATTTTTAAGTATAGTTGTGTGAAACTATATTTACAAATTTGACTTGCTTTTTTCTTCATTAAAATTATACGAGTTGTCCTTGTTGACAGTGTCATCAACATTATTTTTAATAACTGCATACTTTGCTATTTTATGGACATATAATGCAGTCCATCTCCTATTGTTTGGTCATTTTGTACCTTATATTTTTTATAGTTAATGGGGTGATGATGAACGTTTTTGTGCATAAATCTTTCAGAAGCTGTTAACTGACTACTTGAGTACTAAGTTAACATATTTTTAGATGAAATGCACTCCCCCGAATATCTTGTCTACAGTGAGTCTGCTTTGAAGTGCTTGATCTGTAACATGGTGTTAGTCTTCTTCCCTGAGGCCAGAAACATAAAGGGATATCACCACACATGCTAGACGGTACATCAAAAGGGACTCCTCACACAGTATTTTGCAAACCTTAAATTTTATGTTAGAAAATGTGGTAATAGGGATATTGTAGTTTTGCTGTGCATTCCCTGGTTTGCACTCATTTTTGGTTTAAACACTATTAAATTTGGCTACTTGTGTGCTCCATTGTTTGTTTGTTTGTTTTGAGACGGAGTCTCGCTGTCCTAGGCCCAGGCTGGAGTGCAACGGCAGGATCTCGGCTCACTGCAACCTCCGCCTCCTGGGTTCCAGCAGTTCTCCTCCCTCAGCTTCCCGAGTAGCTGGAGTAGCTGAGACTGCAGGCACCCACCACCACGCCTGGGTAATTGCTGTATTTTTAGTAGAGACAGGGTTTCACCATGTTGGGTAGGCTGAACTCCTGACCTCAGGTGATCCGCCCCCCTCATGTCTCCCAAAGTGCTGGGATTACAGGCGTGAGCCACCATGCCCAGCATGCTCTATTGTTCTGTTACACAAGTTTAAAACAGAAACTATTAACCGGAAAATTCTAGCCAGAAGAATATGCAAGTGTAATTCAATTCAGTTGAAATCAATCTAACTCAACTCGGAACACCCAGCATTAATGCCCATTATGTACCAGGCACTGTGGTAGGTATTTTACATATATCGTATCTAATCAGAGATAGCCTTCATATTATGATTATTATTATTTTTTGAGACGGAGTCTTGCCTTTTCGCCCAGGCTGGAATGCAGTGGCCGGGTCTCAGCTCACTGCAAGCTCCGCCTCCTGGGTTTACGCCATTCTCCTGCCTCAGCCTCCCGAGTAGCTGGGACTACAGGCGCCTGCCACCACGCCCGGCTAGTTTTTTGTATTTTTTTAGTAGAGACGGGGTTTCACCGTGTTAGCCATGATGGTCTCGATCTCCTGACCTCGTGATCCACCCATCTCGGCCTCCCAAAGTGCTGGGATTACAGGCTTGAGCCACCGCGCCCGGCCAGGTTTTCATAAAAATCTTGAAGACCATCAATTTTGACTTTGAAAAGACTGATTTCTCTTTCTTTTAAGATAACTGCTGTGTCCAGAATGTTTTGCTAAACAGTATGAGGATAATATTTACAGGAAAACCTATTCAATAAATAAAGCATCATAAAAACCTTGCTAATCTTTTAGTATGATTTGCTGGCCACTTTTTCCCTGGAAGGCAGTCAGCTGTCTTGCATACCTGAAGGTCACAAAGCATGGATCTTTAACAAGCAGGAAATGGAAATGTGGCAACACACAACCTTTGATGGGAACTTTTTGATGAGCAGTTTTATTTTGCATCCTAAGTAGTGACTACCTACTAAGGGTGCAATGCTCAGTAGCAAAACAAGAAATAAAACCAGAATAAATTATTTAAAATGTAGGTGACAGGATTATGAATCAGATGCTCAGGTCTATTTAGTTAGTCTGTTCATGATCCAAGTCAATAAATAAAACAGCCTTTTTGAATAATAAGCGTGCACAGTGGAAACACATGGAGTTTTTCATAGCTGCCATACACACTTGGCAAAAATCAATCAACAAATATTTATTGAACTCTTGCTTGGCACCATGTGAGATAATTAAAAAATAATTTATTGAAAAGTAATTTTAGCACATGGTATAAAATACCCACTTCCCTTCTGAGAAACAACTACTGGTTTCTTAGGAGCCTTCTAGAGACATTCTAGGTCTATTCAAGAATGTATGTGTTTGTGTTTGTAATTTTCATTTTAATGATACCATTCTCTATTTCGTACCTTGATTTTTAAATTTAATACTCTTTGGAAATTGTCTGATTCTGTACACGTAAGTCACTCATATTAGTGACTGAATAACAGTCTTGTTGAATAGATGTTTTGTAATATACTTAATATGTCCTACTGATGAGCATTTAGGGCTGTTCTCAATCTTTGACTTTTGTAAACAAGGCTACTTAATATGTCCTTGGTCATCTCATTTCACATTTGTATATATGTGTAGGATAAATTCCTAAAATGAAGCTCCTAGAACAAAGAGCATATGTATTCTAAAATTTGATGGCACTACTTTACTACTCTCTATGATCCTAGTAAGCCAGCACCCGTTATTTCAATTTGTCATCTTCAACTAAACATTTGTGCTTTGGTTGATAGATTGTATTTCAAAATAAAAGGAATTGGCTGGATGGCTGTTACAATCTAATGAAACTCAAATGATAGATTGTTAGAAATGTCAGGAATATTTAAAATTAAGAGCCTGCAGAAATCAGACTTATGTACATAAGAAAATATGACAGATCTGAATGCCTGGGAGACAAATATACATATTTGCCAGTATATAATTCAATGATCAGTGTTGCAATATTATAAACAACGAATGGTTTTATAAATGAGAAACCAATGCTAACAAAAATCTACTCTAATTAAAATATATAGCATTGGGCTAAACTGGGAAGACTACTTTACTGTCTTCAATAGGAAGTCTACGTTTCAGTAACAGTGAAACCGAAGGACTATATTTAACACGGCATATGATGATATCTAAATGAATAAGCATGGTAGAAGTCTGACCTAACCACAAATAAAATCTGAAAATGCTAAAATGATTTGCCTAGAATTAGTAGACCACAACTGCTAGTAGAAAACAGTAATACATAAAGCATCATCTTAGCTAAATATTTTGGTATTAAATTTCATGGGACTTCCCAAAGCTGAAAAGCTACAAAGCTGCACTGTAATAAATGACGCTTTCATCTAAAATTGAGTAGGTTGTTGAAACTGAGTATTTTATTACATTCTGGTCACACAGTTTACACCATATGCCATTAATAAACATCCTTGTCATATACTCTGGTTATTAATAATCCAACCATAAAAATAAGCCCCTTATTTATATTTTAGGGAAAACAGGTTAATTTGGCTTTCAGGTAAAAACTCTTAAGTACCCAGAAACCTTGAAAAGTGTCCTGAATTCTAATATAAACTTATCCTAGTAGAGGTTAATTAGAAGTTAATGGGTATTGAAAATAATATTTTGTTGCCTTCGGATAAGAGAAGTGTTAATTGAGAAACCTCAGGAAAATCAAGTGAAAATCACTTTTCGTCTCACTACTCAGGGTGATCACTGTAACATATCCCTACTCTTCCTTCTCTATTTATTTGAAGTGTATGTGTGCACCTGACCACAGATAGGATTAGAACGCGCTGGTGACCGCTTTGTTCTCTGCTTTTTTCATCTAATACTGTGAGTAGTTTCCCAAGACCCTAAATAGTCTTCAACCTTTTAAATAGAGTAATGTTCATCAAGTAAATATTATATAGTTACTTTAAAAATTCCTCTACTGTTAGGATACATTTATTTACTTACTTGTTCTATTTATTTATTTATTGCTATTACATATGATGCCTCAGTGAGTATCCTCATACCTAAATATTTTCGTCATGACTTTTTAGGATAAATTGCTAGGAGTAAAATTGTAGATCAAAGGGGGTGAATATTTTTCAGACGTTTGACGCATATCACCAGGATTATCTACTTTAGACCTAGATCTTCCAAAGAATAACATTAGATGAGTGGTTCTGGGTGTCACAGGTGAATGTACCTGTTCAGGGTTGAAGAGTGTCCCCCTATACCCCCCAGATCCCCAAATTCAAGTCCAACATAAACCCCGGAAGGTGGCCTTATTTGGAAACAGGGCATTTGCAGATGTAATTAGTTAAGATGAGGTCACACTGGATTCGGGTAGGCCCTAATCCAATAACTGGGGTTCTTATAATGAAACAGACAAGAGACACAAAGATGAGAATGCCACATCATGATGGAGGTGAAGATTGGAGTGATGTGTCTATAGACCAAGGAACACTAAAGATTGACAACTACCAGAAGCTAGGAAGAGGTAAGGAATGATCCTTCCATAGTGTCTTCAGAGGAAGCATGAGCCTGTGGACATCTTGATTTCAACTTCTAACCTCCAGAACCGGAATAGAATACGTTTCTGTTGTTTTAAGTTACCAGGCGTGTTGTAGTTTGTTACTGCAGCCAAAGGAAACTAATGAACCACCTCTATGAAATCACATGGACGGCTCCTCTTCGGAGCCGTGGCAGAGTGTATGCAAATACCTGGAAATAAAATCAATGCAACCAGATCCATGTACTAGGGCTAAAATGTTTCCCGGAAATATTCTGCATAGTTCTGGACTTACCTGTAAGGCAGATCTTAAATCTTCTCTTCCCCTGATTATTCAAGCTCGAAAATTTATTATGTTCTATTATCTCTCTCATTCAATTGGCCTTGAGTTACTGGTTATAAAACAAATCAAATGCTTTATCTGTATAAATGAATTAAAAATCCCGACATTTTCATAACTATTTAATTACTATTAAGTGTTGGGTATTATGCCAAGCACTCAACAATTATTGTCTCATTTAATGATCAAAACCACCAGTAAAATAGGTTATTGTACATTCTTAGTGGTAAGGAGTTGTAGTTCAGAATTTAAGCAGACTTCAGTTGGTAGTTGCTCAATAAGTATTTACTGATGGATTTTTCCAAGGCACTGAGTTGGTAATGGACCAATGCCATGGTTGCACCACAAATTATGTAAAGTAGCTACTCTTATTTTAACTAATGCTCTGGAATTTCTGGCACCCCTTGTCCTTACAAGTGTCTGAATTAGCAATGAAACCAGCAGGAACTCTTAAGAGGTTGCCACCATAGCTGAGCATGGAGCAATGTGCCAAAGTAATGTGCCAAAGTAACATGCCAAAGTAAATGCGATGTGGATTCTTAACAAGGATTGTGCAGCAAGAGCAAGTTTTTGGTAAGTCTACAGATTTCATAGTTGGAAATGTATAGGCTCTTCTTATACTGCATCCACAAAGAGTACATTATAAATGATATCATTAATTCTCAAAGATTTTTAAATAAAATATGTTCAAGGAACACATTCCACTTAAAATAAAGACTGAAATTCTGTATGGTTAATAATGTTGAAACAAAAACAAACTACCATCAATGATATTCTCCCTATCTTCTATATGAGTTTTTTTGGCACTTCTGAAATATTGGAAGAGAATTACCAAAGCTTTAAAAAGTAAACAATGTATAGTGCTTCTTAGGAGTATATAGACATTTTTAGACATGTCTTCTTCATATTTATGTCCCCAGATCTTAGCAGAGTGTTTTTTTAAATATATATATATATATATATATGGACTAACACAGCAAACAGGTTCCTGGTTGGCTTCTGCATGTCAAGAAGATAGCCTGTGATATATTTACCTTCTGCATTTACAACCATAGTTCCAATAACCCCTTTATGGCTCTGGATCCTCTTTAAGGTTTCTTCCACCTCTGCCTGAAAGAGACCAGGAAGATAATTAACCAAAAGGGCCCTGTGGTAACTCCAACCCTAAGGAGAATAATGTTTGGAAAGATACCTACTCCCCTATCTCCATAACCTAAGGTGCCGAGTGTGATAATCTCAGATTTTTAAAAGACAGCTTTGAAATTGTCAAGTCCCACATAAATATACCTATATAAGACCTTGTGGTTACAATCCTGATAAATCTCAGTAAGACAGCTTACTGCCTCACAGGAGTTCACTCCATATTTATCTGTTTCCATTTACTAGAAAATTATTCTTTACATTGCATGGAAAATTGTCCCAGATTATCTTTCATTCATTGACCCTGCTGTATTCAAATGAAAATTCCTTTTGTACATTATAGTGCTTTAGATATTTATAGAGCTACATCATGGCCTCCCTATGTCTAAAAGTAGTCCTTATTGAGAAATCTTATTTTCATTACTGTGACCTAATCAGTTCAGATGATTAAATTTAAAGGATATTCTATAAAAAACAAAGCATTCCAGGATTCTAGGATTTTCTTGATTACTGTAGCTTCCATATCAGTGCAAGCTGAATGTTCAACTATGAATGATTATTCTGGAATCTATTATTGTGTTTTAAACTCATTTGGAATCTTATCTGTAGACTGTATTGTACGTTTTCTTCCCCTCTAGAAAAGTCAAAGTCAAGAACTATCTTTTCCAAACCTGCAAATTGTTCATGACTGAGCAATCTCTGGATATTCTGAGTTCAAACAGTATTCTGCAAATTCTCTTGATGAGGGTTTGCTATATTCTTTTTTCCTCAATATTGCACAGGTGAACATTATGTTACTTCAAGATAGTTTTCCTTTGCACTTGGTATGAGCATGAGCACTTACTTTCTCTATTTCAGCATCATAGCCAATGTTTTCTTAACTTCAGGCGTTTTTATACTAGATTCATTATTCTTACCATTAGGAATGCCATGTATATTATTTATCTAAGTATTCTTTAAATTATCGCACTGCTAAAAGTTTAAATAAATGCATTTTAAAAGGAAACCATATATCACTACCACAGATGGAAAACTGATGTTATTCCTCATAAACAGAAATAACTGTAAAACAAACAAAATGAACAAAATGAAGAGACAGCATATCATTAAATTCTACTGCAATGAAAGCTCTGAGCCTGAGGCCTGCTCTTTAGATGAAAAATGGAAACTTCCAAATGACAGTGGTATTAAGGACCTAATAGTAACAGAAATTTTCTCCTGTATGTAGTCTGAAGGTTGAACAAAAAGGAAGAGGAATAACTTTCTCACGATGTGATTCATTCTTATTTAGCATTTCTGGGCCATCTTATGTAGCAACGAATGTTTGCATCTCACTTTGAGAAACACTGCACTAAACCGTAAACGCTGAACAGGGGATCAATAATTTACTGCATTTTGGGCAGTCTTTAAGACGATGTCCACAGCTTCTCGAAGCCACTGTGTCCTCATTTATCTTTCTCCCTGTTACTTATCTCCCAAACTCCTTTCTTTTCTTTCCCTGGCCTTTCCATTTCTCCACCCAGTTGTTTCTCGTCTCATGATTTCTGAGTGCTCCTAGTATAATTTCTTAATCCCCATCTCCAATCCCCGTTTCATTCCTCTCTTAACGACCTTTGCTTTCCACAGTTTCTACTTTTTTTTTCTTACTTCTTTTTTTTGGGGGGGGAGAAGGGGGGCGAGTCTCCCATCACTTCCTTTTTCTTTATTTCCCTTTCTTCTTTTTCAGTATCTTCCCTTCTCACCCTTGCATTCCCTTGCTTTCCCTGTCCCACCTCTTCCTTCTCTCTAAGGGTCTGATTTTTTTCCTTTCCATCTCGGCCTCCTGCCCCGTCTTTGGAAACTTTCCTGGCTCCCCGGATTTCTCACTCCCCTGAGCATTCTTCATCCTCTCGATCTCTTTCCTTTCTCAACATCACCCCTCCCTATGTACCACCCCCGCGAAATCAATTCCCAAGACGGCTTCCACTCATCTAGACATCTTCTTCTCCCTTTCCAAGGTCTCCCTCTCGCCCCTCCAAGAAAATCCTGGAGCCACCAGTCTCTGCCGCGGCCCCTGGACCGTCCGTGCCTTTGCCTTGGGGGGCCCCAGGAGCCGGGCAGCGAAGGTCCTTGCCCGTAGGCGTCCTTCGAGCGCCGGGGCGCAGACGGAGACCCTAGATTTACCATCGCGGAGGCCGCGAAACTCTGGGCTCAGGCCGGCGGCACAGACTCCCGGGATGTCAACAACGCTACCAGCCGTAGCTAGGAGACAAAGGAGGAAGTGGCCCCCGGAAGCTTCGGGGCCGCGCCTGCGTGCTCGCGGACCGGCTTTTCCGCCCTGACCGTGCTCCTGATGCCTCCCGGCCGCCGTAGGCGAAGGTTCGCGGAAGCGGCGAGCAGGCGCTCACCTGAGGTTCGCCCAAGCCTGGGGCGGTGGGGCCCGGGAGGGAAGAGGGAAGTGGGTGAGGTTCCCGGTCTGTGTTCGTCCATTCATTCATTTGTTGAGGCACGACTTAATGTAATAGCCACTCATTCGTCCAAGAACTGCTGATTCACCACCCACCAGGTGCCAGAGAGAAGGACAAAATGCACCAAAAAGTCCCGGAAGCAGTAATGTCCACGTGTGATACTTGCCTTGGAGCAAGTAAACAGGGAACAGGGCCATCTGACTCCGGGGTTGGGCTGCTCTAGGGGTGTGGTGATAGTCTTAGCTGCCTATGACCGTCCATTAGTACTGCCCTGTGCAGGGCAGATAATGTTGTCTCCCCTCCCAGTAGTTTTTATATTGAAGAAAAATACATCAGAGCATCAAATAATACAATCTTATGTACTTAAAAAAAGTTAATATATATCTGTCTACTCCAAGTTCAGTAAACACAGTTTCACATTTTATGTTCTCACCTAGTTATAGCACACTCTTTCTGTTCTCAACTCCCTTGAAGAGTTGCTACTTGTCAGTATTTCTGTTAGTTGTCAGTATCCATTAGGATCTGTATTTTTGCCATTGTAAATATCAACAGTTCTGAGTTACTAAAAAATTGCAAGTGGTAGTTCCGGAGGTTCTATACATTGCCATAGAAGAGCATTCCATTGGGTGTTTAAGGAACTGTTGGAGGAAACACATTGAGGAAACACAATAAAGATCAGTTAGGGATGGTCCGAAGTCACTTGACTTTTTGAGGGACATTGATAATATCCTTATAGCCTAGGAGGAAAAGAGCCACTATTGTATGAAGAAGCACAGCAGGAAGATTTTATGGCTGCAGTGGTGTTATGACTTGCTGGGGTTAGAGGAGGACAAATATTGATGACAAAATACAAGCTGTAAGTTGGGAATGCATTCATAGGGATCATGCCATAACAACTTACTGTAATACCGATTCTGTGCATCCATTTCCAGAAAGTAGTCTCACACTAAACAAGGCATGCCTCGTACTAGGAATGTCAACTGGATTCTGAATGGGCCATGTTAGGCATGCTCTGGGACAGTTTTGAATTCATTGGCAGGCTTGGACTCGATGATCCATTTCAACTCCAAATCTGTCATTTTATTATATTAACTACAGAAATACTCTGAGAAGCTGTAGTTCTGCTCTAATTTTTGTTGAGGTGTGGGTGATTGTGATTACTGTAATTCTCTCCTTTTTTTCTCTCCAAGAAATTTGTATGTCTCAGAAAGCCAGTTCACTATTAATAGCCAAAGAATCCCACTTGATTCTCAACACCTGGTACTCCAACAAAGTTGATTTGGAAAGGGCTGCCAGAGCCGTGGGGAAGGAGTCTGAGTCTGGTGTGTGCATGTGCATGTGTGTGCTTGTGTGTGTATGCATGCATGTGTGTACAGTTCTGGCTCTTACCTGATTCACAGTTCTGGCTCTTACCTGATTCACTATAGCTACCATTTTGCAGTAATACAAATACAGGTCTTTAGAGAAGTACTGACCGAGTTGAAGACTGATTCTTGGGCTCTCTGGGTGTTTCTGATCAAGGAGATTCCTACTTGATTGTGTAGCCATTTGTTTTTCTTACAAAAATCAGTGACAGTGCACCATGTCTGATATGTCAGTCAGCTTTAATGAAGGAACCCACTGCATATGCATGGAGTGTGGATTTCCTCGTTTCTGGAGTCAGGGTGTCAAGCTCATTCAATCGCTGACAGCTGTAATTAGAGCAAAAAACGATTCTACCATGAAAGGCACTGACAGGAGAACCCAACTGCTCAAAGAGAAATAAGAAGTAGCCAAACTGACTTCCAACCAATGGTCAGGTTTGCACAGGAAATCAATGAGGAGAACTTGAGCCATTTTCCCCTTATCAATTTTTCACTTCTAATTATTTCTTGGAGGTAGCTTGGTTTAATTTTTATGCCTTTTTTGGAACTATAATGAATGTCCAGAGCTGTGCTATGTAAAGTGTCTTTGCAAGTCCTGACATGTTTCCTACCCCATCCTCAATATGTGTGAATTCCTCTTTTACCATCTCCTTCTCCCATCCCCTCAGGTTTTCTTTTGACTCACAATGAGTGCTAAATAACTTTGAACTTAAGTGAAAATATTAATGAATAATACTTTTTGCACGTACTCTGACTTAACCCCAAAAGTGATACCTGCAGAGACCAAGTCCACAATTTTTCACATATAATTTTGTTAGAAGGAGATGATTTTCTTCTGAGAGTCTCTCTTGCTCTTTGATACTTTGCTACTGCTCTCTGGTTAGCTTGAAGAAATCCAGATAACTTAATAATCTTGAGTTTTTTCTTGGCATTTTCTATACCACCCCATATAACTATCTTTGGCATTCCTGGCAGTTGGCAAATATTATGAACTGGGCCATGGAATAAATTTTGTGCCCATTCTCTCATAAGATAAAGCATTGTTTGTCATTTAACAGAACTTCTCCTGGTATTCTACTTGTTTCCCTCCAGAAAATAGACACTACATTCTTCTAACATGTTCACAGGCCAGGCGTAGTGGCTTACATCTGTAATTCCAGCATTTTGGGAGCTGAGGCAGGAGGATTGCTTAAGGCCGGGAGTTTGAGAGCAGCCTGGGCAAAAAAAAAAAAAAAAATTTTTACAAAAAAAAAAAAAAAAAAAAAAAAAAAAAAAGGCTGGACGTGGTGTTGCATGCCTGTAGTCCCAGCTACTTGGGAGGCTGAGGCAAGAGGATTGCTTGAGCCTGGGAGTTTGAGGTTGCAGTGAGCCACAATCACACCACTCTCTCCAGCCTGGGTGACAGAGTGAGACTTGTCTCAAATAAAAAAAGTACAATAAAATAATAAAATACTCCTTAATACTAGGGCATAATTAGAAGGTACCGGTAATATCAATAAGTATTTCCTAAAACTGACCCAATGTCATAGAATTGCAGTATTATAGATTTAAAGTTTCAGAAAATCAATCATTTTCTTCTTATTAGGCTAAGACACTCTCTGGGGTGACTTCCTTCAAGACCTAAGTGTAATAGAAGTATTTGCTTTCCGTAAGGGAATCCTTGTTGGAATTAAGTGTTTTCCTAGAGCACAGGATTTGGAGTTGGGTGCAGGTGGGGTTGACATTTCTAGGCATGTTTCCTTGAATAAAATAAACAGCTTCTTCATTTGTAAAGTAAGAAAGATAGTATCTACCTTAGAAGGTTGAGATGTGAGGTTTAAATATTATGTGGGTGAATGTCTGGCTTATACCAGGTGACCAGTGTGGATCAGTTAACCATGTTTCTTTCTTCTGTCTTTTCCTTTCTTTGGTTCATCTTTCCTTCTTCCCTCCATTCCTTTCCTCCTTTTCATCTTTAACCTTTCTTCCCCATTTCCTTCTCCTGTTTCCTTCCTGTCTCCCTTCTTCACTATCCTCTCCTCAACTTCTCTTCCTTCTTCCCCTCTCTAGGAAAAATCTCCGTAATTCGTATTGTTGACGTTCTCACTAAAGAACAACTTTCCCTTTCTCTTTGTATACAACTTGTTATTAATTTAGAACCTTCATCTGTTTCATCTACCTCTAATCCCATTTTAACATAATTCCCATTCTTATACCTCTAGCTCCAGCAAGCAGTTCCCATCTTGGTGTACTGCACATAATAGGTATTCTCAGTATCTTATGGTTTAGGGTAAACTGTAAATATTTCCTGGTCGATTAACTTTGTTCAAAGAAGAAGAAAGGAAGGGCTGAGGGGAGCAATACAATTTCATGCGCTTTATGTACCTCTCCTTTTCTCAGATAATCCAGTCCTGAGGTCTCTGATCCATTTAGTTTCAAAATTACTTTGGTAAGTATAACACATAAAAAAGTAAGGTGCACCAAACAAATGTACAGTGGGTGAGTTACCATGAAGTGAACAGCTAAACCCCCAAACCAGATTAAAATAAATAGAACACTGTTCACACCCAAGAAACTTCTACTTGGCCAGTCCCAATCATTATGTCCACTCTCCCTGCAAGTTAGTTATCTGACTTCTAACAGCATGGTTTAGTTTGCGTCATTTAAAATTATTCAAGTGGAACTACCTGGTATGTAACCTTTTGTTTTGGGCACAATTTTCCTCAGTATTATGTGTGTGATAGTCATCTATGTTGTGTGCAGTTGTGGTTTCTTCAGTTTTATTGCTCCGTAGTACTCACTTGTAAGAAAACACTACAGTTTATTTATACTTTTACTGTTGAAAGATAATTTTGGTTGTTTCTAGGTTCTGACTATTCTGAATAATGCTGCCAAAGCATTCTGTCACGTGTCACTTGGTGCACATAAGCATGCGTTTGTTTCAGGTGTATATATATATATATGTATATATATGCAGGAGTGGAATTGCTGGGTCATAGATTATGATCCATTATCACGCATTGTCAAACTGTTTTCCACTGTGGTTGTGCCAGTGTACCAATGTACCTAACAGTGTAGTGCAAGATAATTTCTTTTGGTCTACAGCCTTGCCAATAATTAATATTGTCATGCTTTTAGGTTTTAGCCATTCTAGTATGTGTAAACTACTAGTGTCTCATGTGGTTTTAATTTGCATCTCGTTGATTACTGATGAGATCGGTCACTTTTTCCCCCACATAATTATTGACTTTTGTTTTTTTTTTTTGATTGTGTGTGTGTGTGTGTGTGTGCGCGTGCACATGTGTGTTCCCTGTGGTGCAAGATTTTTGATGGTTATATGTATATGTCTGTCTTTACATAAATACCTACAGCTACATCTATATCTATCATTACAAATCTGTTCTACTCTGTGGCTCCCATTTTATTCTCTTAATTATGTGTCTCAGCTGTGCATATGTAATGGACACTTGGTGTGTAGCATAAATGGAGCTGCAGACCAGTGGGGGAAACGTGTTTTTTTTTTTCAATGTGTGACACTGTACCAGTTTTATATCCATGAAAAAATAAATGAAACATCTTCATTACCTTGGGCTAGGGAAAGC